TAAATAAACCATCAAAAAAATTCTGTAAAAGTTATTTACATAGCAGGACTAATATTTTATTCGGTGCTGCTGTCTTCAGTACTTATTTTAAATAACGTATCAAATACGTGGACCACACTGTATATTACGATTACTGATTTACCAACTCGTAATTTATTAAATTAAATAGATTGTATAGACGTCAGAATATAAATAATAAAATAATAAATAAATAAGAAATAATAAAAATAAATAATAAAATATAATAAAATTAAATACGATAACGTAAATACAAAAAATAAAAATAAAATAATAAAATAATAAATAAATAAATAAAAAATAAATAATAATATGAGAGGGAGGGAGAGAAAGGGAGAGAAAGAGACAAAAAGATAGAAACACATTTTTTGTAAAAATGAATTATTTTGAAATAAAATTTAAAGAACCTGCTTTTTATGTACACCTTAATATTTAAAATGTCCAAGTTCAACGTATAAATCGTTGAACGGTTAAATCGTTCAGATTTAATGACATAACAACATTAAAAAAAATAATAAGATGAGAAATTGTATGAAAAATTATGAGAACAATTTTTACTAGGGATGATATATATACGCCTTTAAATGGCCATTTAACCGTTGTACTATTCCATACTTGTACTCGTTATTTCTCTATTATTGTTGTTTTTTTATACAAAATGTGTAATATAATTTTAAAATGTAAACATTGTTTTTTATTGTGTATATGTGTACAATTATTGCACAATATAATTATCTTGACTTCTCTGCAGCAGTTTTACATGGTGCGTATGTGAAACTGACCCATTTAATAACGTACATATGGCCCTTGATAGAATTAAATAGCCTATCTAGGAAACAGAATCTGCGCGCAATCTGCCGGCAGTCTGTCGTCAGAGTCTGTCGACAGGCTCTGCGCGCAGTCTGTCACCAATCTGTCGTCAGAAACTGCTAAAACAGTTTCTGTGTGCAGTCTGTTGCCATTCTGTCAACAGACACTGTTGACAGACTCTGCGTAAAATCTGCTCGCACAGGTTTGGCTATTTGGGTATATATATATAATAACTGTATGTTTAATCAATATATAAAAGATTGAAAATATATATGACTATATTAATACATTTTTAATATTGTTTTTTTAATATTTTTGTAGCATAGCAAGATCATAAATCAAACCCATACAGCAAGAATGTCTTAAATACATCATATGAATATCATGAAGATATCATATATCCCAAATATATCTTTAGGATATTCCTATGATATATTTTGGACATCTCTGCTATGTGGGAAAGTATCTGAAAAGATACAAAAATTAAAGAAAGAAAGAACCAGTAGTCAGCAACTGTAGAACCGATGTACAAACGTAGAGCCACACTTTCCTACTACTTGGAGCATCGTTATACCTAGTTATATTGTCGTTATTGCTTATCGAGGGATCCCATACCTCGATATCTTAACGACAAAAATCGATATTTTATCGACACTTTTAACGATATTTATCGTTAAGAAAAATTACAGAATACCATTTTTCATTACTTGAGTCCCGGCTTAACCGCCGTCACGACAAGACGTATTCGAACACGTTCGGATCGTGTGATTTTTTAGAACGTATCTTGGAATTTTCCAAGACTTTACTCTCGATATAGATCATTAATCGGAAAAATGGCGTTGGGGTATAACTTTTAGAGAGGCCTGGAGCCAGATTTTGAAGTTGAAGTTGAATTTTTCGTTACAGTGTCGTTAAATCTCCGTAACGACACCCTAGGCTAGTGACGTTGTCGTTAAGAAGTTATGGCTCCTGCACACAGGACGCGGTAATGCTTGCCGCGCGGCCGAAATTCACGTGACAGCCAATCAATATGCTGCTTTCCGTAATAACTTTCTAGTTACGGAAAAACAACATATTGATTGACTGTCGCGCGGACTTCCGCCGCGCGGCAAGCATTACCGCGTCCTGTGTGCAGAAGCCATTAGAGAATATGCCTACAGTGTTGGGATTCTGTAATTCGTTATTGGAGTTAACAACAATTTCGTCATTGTTACGCAGCTTTTCTATGGTATACAAAAGCTACGCAATGATAACAAAACTGTCCACGCGACAGCTAATCACTGGGTGTTTACAATAAGTTGTCGGATTGGAAATCCGACTGAACAGTGGTACTCAATCGACCCATTTCAAAAAATTCCCTAGCTTAATCAAATTTTAGTAAAAGCTGTCTCAGCAGTAATCGGATTAGCTTCATAGCGACGTGAGGTGATACTTTGTCCTCAAGAGAAATAAAAAGATAAAAGTCGGTAGGTACGTAATTATTATTCTAATGATTAGCGCGTATCATTTTCCTTATATATCAATATATGAATAAATGATCTGTTACACTTTTACTGATATTAAATTAATGAAAAGAAATATTAATAATCTCACGTGTAGTAAACATTAACCTATAATAATATTGGATTAATGTTATAATTTCGTATGTAACAAAATAAGAACAGTATAAAATCTGTCAAATTAACATTTCAAACATACTAATTTTAAAATATATTAAGGACATTTATGCATTTAGATACATATAAATATATGTGCTTGTATATATGTATGTTCATATGTGTAATCTATAATTATTTACACACTTATATTTTTATATAAAAAGAATATTTATATTTTTATAGATTGTGTACATATATATTTTTTTTGGGTGTATATCAGTTGGACACGAGGCAATTGGACACAGTTCAATCACAAGTCGCTGTTCCAAGGGACCCTACAAATGTCTCTAATCACACGGTGCTGTGATTGGCTGTGTCCAAATGCACCGTGTTCAAGTGCACCGCTCCCATTTTTTTTTATATAAAAAGAATATTTATATTTTTATAGATTGTATATATATATACACAATCTATAAAAATATAAATATTCTTTTTATATAAAAATATAAGTGTGTAAATAATTATAGATTACACATATGAACATACATATATACAAGCACATATATTTATATGTATCTAAATGCATAAATGTCCTTAATATATTTTAAAATTAGTATGTTTGAAATGTTAATTTGACAGATTTTATACTTATTTTGTTACATACGAAATTATAACATAAATCCAATATTATTATAGGTTAATGTTTACTACAC